CGATTTTATATCTTCTGGATCGATAGAGTTTAAGTTTAGGTAGATGACTTAGCACTGGCTGAAGCGGAAGAAAAACAACCTTGGTACTCTTGCTTCATGAAGAAGAAAACGCCTAAGGCAACTTCAAGTTAGTTTGGGACTTTGAACTTTTTGTGAAAGACTAGAAATTCAAAGTTTCTCCGTCAACTCAACGCAAAAAATTTCAGAAGGCAGGAAACATTCAGGTTGATCGATCTTTGTGCACTCTTTTTATCTTTTACTTGCTTTTTAATTAGCGTAAACAGCACGCTAACACAATGCACATCAAAATCCCAGAGAATCAATCAACTTTTCAATTCCAGTGTTCTATCGAATGGCTGTAAAAGCAGCAAAAGCACGACGGAAGCTAAAAATGAGGGATCCAGCCAGAGTAAGTAGAAGTGCTATTATAATTATTTTGTAAAGCCTCTAATGCATTTCCATTGTGCATCAGGGGTAGTAGCATCTAGAAGCTTTTCTTGAGAAACTGTTACGAGTAATTTGAATTGCATTAGAGAGCAACAGTCCTTGGAGCAATGTGCGCTTCACAACGTAGCCTGTTAGAGAACTATCTAAATTAAATAGGCACCGTTTCGAAGGCAACTCTGTTTTTACCTTTCTGCTCCGAGAAATTGGCACTTAAAGTCCACAAAGCGCATTTTGTCCTGCACTGGCCATTCGGTGTTCCCCCTTCACTGTTTCGACGTGTCCCTCCACTTGACGTCCACCTCCATGGTGATGCTTTCGCTTTGCCGGAGGCCTGGATGAAAAAGCACAATTCTTTCCGTTGTATATCCAAGGGCCTTGAAAAAAAAACGGGTTCGTGCATTTATGCGATGGACCCGCATTTCGGTTAGACAGGGTCGAAAAGGCTTGCAATATGCAAAAATCGGTACACAACAACCAAATGTTAGTAAAGGGAACCGGGCATACCTCGCGCAATTTTAGTCGCCACACGATCTGGCTATATTCAGTTGTCTACAAATCTTGCCAAACGCGTACTAAACAAAGCCCCGTAGTAAACCCCCTCTCAGCCCAACTCGGCTGGGGGC